AACCTTTAGCTGCACCAGCTGCTATTTTCATTCTTGTGTTCCAATCTAATGGTTCTTTATCAGGCGGAAGATCTGTGCAATTATCCATACTCAAGTCAACTTGAATTAACAGACTAAAGATTACGAATACATGATAAATGCGGGCCACAAATATGCCAAAAAAGTGGAAGCTCAGCTCAAAAGTATGAAGTACAAATTACTTAATCTACAACTACAAGCAAGCATGATTTTTTGTCTTCTATGGGCAATGTTCGGTTCAAGATTTCACTTTTTTTGCTCATTCTTCAATACTTCATAATTAACAATTCTTCATAATTAACAAGCCCGTCTATTTTGCAATATGGCTTTGACAAGCAAATGTTAAGCATCTAATGAAGCAAGCGGCAAACAGAGAGGAGGAAGGAAAATTTATTGTTACCTCTTTCTTCGAGCAATAATGTAATTCACAATAGTTTGATCAACTGCCTGACTCATATTCCAAACTGGATAACTTTTTGGCGAGTTAAGGGGCAGGCAACATTGCTTCTTTCATTAGAAACTACATGTTAATGGGAGTACTCATGGACATCTTAGTAAAGATTTTTCCTTGTCCTCTCTTCTTTTCCTATGCATGAGTTGTCATATAATCTTCCCAAGGAATATGTTACTTCAACTGGGTTAAGGAAGACGACTGTTGATGAAAATCAAGGTATACAAAAATGGGCTTGGGCAGCAACAGAATAGTCTTAAAAAAGGAAAGCGAAGCAATGAAATGAATCAACATGCCATGGAAAAGTTCAGAAATAAAGTGATGGATTGCTAATTCCCAAGTCAATTCTTGTCCCAAGTTTAGGAGAAGTTGAATGAATTAAAATTCCAAACTTACCAAATATTGACCTTCTGTATAAATAAACCATATCCTTTCAATAAAAATAAATTACAACAAATCTAATACAAGTTAATATTCCATTACTACTCGATGACAACCATCATAAACCAATTTATCCAAAATGAAAAGCATAAGAGAGGTCCCCAAAGAAACTATGCATGTGTCTATGCGTGTGAATGACAGTATAATGGCAGGGGGAGGGAGGTAGCAGCTGCTGCTATTTGGTGCACTTGGGTCTAGTTGGGAGGGTTGGCAGTGCCCATGGGGGAAGGGTATTGGGAGGGGTGAAAAGCAGAGAGCGGACTGGAATGTTGTTAGTGATAGAAGAGGGCTGCAAAATGGGGTAGGTGGAGGGGCCTGTGGGGGGAGAGGAGGGGACTGAGCATCAAAGTGATAGGAGGGAGGGGTGACCCAGAGGTGATGAATAGAAATGGGATTTTGGGTGGAAGCTGGGCAGTGGGAGACAGTGTAAAAATGGAGGTGGATAGAAATGTTGGTTTTTGGGAAGAGAGAAAAGGAATGGGGTGGGAGGGAGGAATAAAACCCGGGCCTGCCATTTTCATTTAATACCTATGTTGATTTGGTAGTTCAAAAATATGGTTCTAAATAAATAGTAAGGAAGAATGACTAATCCCAAATAATGGGAATAGGGATTAACTAAAGTGGACATTCCAATGTGAGCAGATTCATAAATTTCATTCAATTATGTGCCTTCTGTTCATATTCAACTCTAGCGGTGCTAGAATCCGTAAACATCAGAAGCACAATCAACTGCTTTCATCATGGAAGAGTTCTGAATTTTGAGTTTATTTTGATGAATAGTTATTAGACCAGGTCCTTTATTTATATATATGAAACGGAGGCACAATGCTTCTTTTGTAAATTTTCATGTATTTAGTAAAAAATGGTTTAATTCCCAAAACATGAAAGGCTCGTAGCTCCAGAATATTATGTAATTTAAATGCAAGATTCAGTTCAAGACAGAACAGTGTGCTCCAGTGTTCACAAACCAGATGCTGCATTGCATGTTTAGAGACTAGTCATAAAAGGAAAAGAAAAAATAAAAAAATCTGAAGCAGAAAAACTTACCATGGAGGTGATCTTCTAACGAGCCCAATGGCATGTATTCATAAACAAGAAGCCTCTGCTCCCCATCAGCGCAGTAACCAATCAAACTCACCAAGTTTGGATGGTGTAGAAGGCTAAGCATAAGAACCTCTACCAAAAATTCTCTATTACCCTGAAGCCCATTCCTATCCAATTGCTTAACTGCTACGAGCTGCCAAAACAGACACCTCTATAAAACCTAGGAAATACGATAATCAGGTAATGAAATTCTAAATTGATGACAGAAGTACATGAATGTGGGTGTGCTGTTTCTGTCTCTAAACTGCTAAACTCTTTGTCATGCCTAAAGGAACCAAATTTTAAGTAAGGGCGATCTAGCATTTTACGACTGTGGTTAATCGCTTCTCCTTCACAAGTTTTCAAAGCCTAAATGTAGTTCACAAAAAAAGGGATGCACTACTGAACATAATGCCAATGTACTTAAAATACTTTGCAAGAATTAAGAACTAAACTTCGGTGGGGCAGGACAGGGCAGGGTGGGGAGGAAGTTGCTAGCTTGAATTGAAAATCACCCATGGGACCATCAAAACATTACACATCCAGGTACTGGAAAGTTATCAAAAAAGTAAATAAAAATTTTACCTGACCATTTGGAAACTGCCCTTTAAATACACGCCCAAATCCTCCTTCTCCTAAGAAACACTCTGGCCTAAAATTATTCGTAGCAGCAGCAAGCTCACGAAAAGTAAACGTTTGTGCAGCAATCGGAACATCTGATGCTTCCTTTGGACCCACTGGTTCCTTCCTCGGCCCAACATTGCTCCTTGATTTGAGCCTGTCAGCACCTGCAAGTTCCATCACAATAAACTAGCATAATAGATCCACCAGCATTCATAAAAATCTAAATTATGAAACCCAGAATTAAAATCACAGAAATCAAAACCTTTCAATCTTCCCATTCATTTCTAGTGGCCAAAAATTTGGCCGAATTTTCCATACCCAATGAAAAACAGGCAAAGGGATGGTTGAATAGTATTAACATTCAGATATCCTACACAGTTAATTAAATATATCCTAAACCAGATTGTAAATCTATATTATAAATAAAGTTAACCAACTGGTCTAATCAAGTGAAAATTGTCAAAGAATTAGAATTTCAGCATAACAACCAGATCTAATATAGCAATCATAGTCCCCTTTGAAATCTCATTTCATTATTTTTATGAAGAGAAGAATAACTTTCATCAGTTTCTGTTATAGCATTAAGTGGTCAACATCAATCACACTCACAAAACAAACTAATTCATAAAGCACCAATACTTAGATCAGATCAAAAAGTACAAAACACACATGTACATAAAAATCAAAGACACTAATCCATAAACTAGATAAAAATTGGGGAAGAAAAACACTAACCAGATGATAATTTGGATATATTGGAGGGAATACTTGGATAGACTTCCTTGAGATCATCTCTCTCTTCTTGGGTATTAAGCTTTTCCTCTTCCCTTGAATCAAAACAAGGAAAACAACCCATTTGTCCCTCTAAACGATGTAATCTTAATCAAATACTTTCCTCGAAAATTTTATCAGATGCGCTTCAAAATCAATAAAATTTCATGTTCTTGAAATCAATCCCACAATAAATGCCCAAACATTTTAGTGGGTGTGCACTAAATACAATAAATATCAAAACTTTATTAACTTTATCTACCCAACTAATCAGCAACGACAAGAGATAAGATTCAAGATGAGTAGGAGTAAAGGTAAAAAGACAAATGAAAACAAAAAAACCAAAGAAGAAGAATTTTTCAATAAATATATCGTTTGAGAAGCTATAACAAGAAAAATAACAAGAAACAAAGATGGGAAATTATCTGTCGGCTGTATACGTAAATGGCCGAGTAGTTGTGACCGAGCAGCCGGCTGTGTCTTGGGCTGCCTCTTTTTCCGTCTTTCTTACACACACATATATAACGGATTATAAAAAATAATAATTTTTTATCTTTAGGGAGAAAATTACATCCCAACTACGAGTGAATAAGTAAAATTGACGGTTAAAATATTGAAATAACAGTAAAAAAATTAATTTTTTGAGATAAAAAATTATTTTTGTAATTAAGAGCTTGTTTGGAAGTGATTTTTTCCTCTCAAAAATTGATTTTTTGACCTTTATTTCATTATTTTGGTTATCATACTTGATTTCTTCTCTCACAGGTGGACCCCACTTTTTTCCTAACTATCAAAAAATCAATTCTCAAAATTATTTCCAAACAGGCTTTAAAACTTGTAAAGGTGATATTTTTTTTTTTCAATATTTGATTACTTTAAAAGAAAGTAAGACCTAAAGTCTTATAACAGAAGTACATGAGATGGTAAAGTAGAAAGGATAAATATATATGTATAGTGAGGGGTTATCAAATGGTGTCCCCCCTCTCACAATATATGGTGGCTCCGCTTAAATTTAAAAATGACGGCCTGTGGTCTACACCCCTATTATGAGTAATAGGTAAAAGATTTGATATGTGCAGCATTGTCGAAGTAGAAATAGACATTTTTATTCGAAATCAATCGGTTTATACTAGAACGATTGAACCAAATAAAATCATATTTGATTAGGGATTGAGAATCAGAGAAAGCAACGATCGAAGTTACAGAAAAAGTTTTTGATTTAGTTCGAAATTTATATTTTTATTAATATCTCAATTCAATCATAATTTATATAATATTACATGCGTTAGAATATGTTAGTGAAAGTGACATGAGAAGGCACGTTTGCGTGTGCCTCTGTATATGTTTAACATCTGCACACTTCCCCCACCATCCCTCGACCAAATTGGAGTAGATGGGTAGATGCATTATCATCCCTTGTCTTTGTATTGTTTTATTAAGAAAGTCAATTGTTTGTTTAATTGCATTGCATAGATATGTTATTAGAAAATCAAGAGAGTAGTGAATAAAGCAACGTGCGATTATTTGGAATTCAGCAAATAAGAGTATAACTCATTTATGGAACAAAGAAATTTTAGGAATAAATTAGGCACAATAACAACGGTAATGGATATAGAGCAGAGACGGTAAAAATTTAAGTCAAATCAATCACATATTCGATGAAACCCACAATTTTTTCAATCACAACTTATCAAATTTTATCAAAATCTACCAAAAACCTGATTTTAAACCAGATGTAACATGAACTAAATAATAAAGGGGAAAACGATAACTAAAAGTTTGTTGTCCCCTGTGATGATATAACAAAATACATTAACGTGAAAGGTGGGCATAATATCTCTTTCTATTAGGCAAAAACCATTACTCACCATTTTCCCACTTGTTATGTGTGGTTAAGTCATTTTCTTCCTCCAAAAGTCACATACTACGCGTATTAGTTGATTGGTTTTAGAATTTATACAACCCAAGTTTAGGGCAAAGTGGCGAATAGGTTAGGACAGTTTCATTTATAAATTGAAATTTCTGTATTCAAGGTCTCATTATTGTTCATTTAAAAGCATATAATGATAAAATATCCAAATCACACGATGTTAAGGAGGCGCCTTTCAATTGTAGAATTCATATTTTAAATCTTTTAAAACTATGTGCACGGTATACCACTATTGAAAAATATCTATTTAGATGTTAAATCAGCATGTGACATGCACGTGATGTCTAATTTGAAGCATAGAATTGCAAAAAACAAAATCCCTTTATTCAAAAAATCAAATGGTGACTATTCAAATGAAAGAAAAATTTTGTTCTTTTGATCAATTTATATTCTTTCAATTAGACATCACTTGCATGTTACATGTGCATTTAACATCTAAATAAGCATTTTCGTCGTGCTGGGATATCATGCGCACTATTGTTACAACAGTTGGAGATATGGGAGCACGAAGAAAAGGTTGAAAACCACGACCATCACAATTACAAAAGGTCAAGATGCAACATTATTAATTCATTGTAATACAAATGATTATATCATTTCAATTTTAATATGATTAATATTTATAGATTGATTATAAGCATGTAGAATCAAAATTTTAAACTCAAGTTCTTGTAATTTGTAAGTGTAATATTGTATAGATTGATTATAAGCATGAATTATCAAAATTTCAAACTCAAATTCTTGTAAATTGAAAGTGTAGTATTGTATGGATTGATTATAAGCATGTATTATCAAATTTTCAAGCTCAAATTCTTGTAATTTTTATGTGTAGTGTTGGAAAATTATCATACCGGTGTTTGGAGAAGAAACCGAAAAATGAAAATTCAAGAAGATGAAAATAATGGAAAAAACATAAATAAATATGAAGGCTCAAACACGACATTATATCGTTGTCTTCAAACAATATTTGTCTCCTCTCGTATATAATTTTGGTGCTTAAAGGGTCTCGCGGCAAATGGTTTGTAGGATTAGTCAAGCCTTGTAGAGAATCAAACACTTAAGCACTTGTGTGACTCTCCAAAATTTGAAGAACACTAAAGGGAATTTGAATATAAATGAAGAAGACTTTGATTTCTTCTAGCGAAATGAAAGAATGTTCATCATATGTTTGTAATATGATTTCTATATTGTGTATTGATCATCTCATCACCTATTTATAGGTTTGAATCAATACGTCATGAATTGATGTCAAATCATTGTGAAAAGTTGCAATGTTTTCCTCCAAAAAAATAACATCCAACGATCACTAAAATACAACCATGAGACCGCATGGAGTAATCCCATGCGGTCGCATGGTTTATGCCAAAATTGGCCTGCCAGTTTCGGACTCCGCATGGCCAAATAGTCCATGCGGTCGCATAGACTTATGTTGCAGCCACCATTTTCATTTTTCATTCCATACTCCATTTGTTTATTGATTATTTGAACATATTTTCCATCATGTAGTTCAAACTCAAATGTAATGTTTATATTTTCATTGAAAGACATGCTAATGTATGTATTTATAAGCAATAATGGGTCATCATATCTTCAATATTGACATATATACGAGACAATGCGATTACATAGATGAGAGAAGAATCATTATTTTTTGTCGGACCATCTTGTTCTATAATTTTTTCAAATTATGTTCAACGTATCATACATACTATGTTAATGTTTTGAAAAGTTCATAAAATGAAGAACACACCAAGTGCCAAAAAGCTAGCTTGAAGCAAGACTATAAGAGCTTTGCTTGCTTACACTTTCTCTAGTTAGTTTGTGGTGTTCCCATCACCATCATTCAAAGAAATTCAAGAATTTGTCTAAATTTCTTCAAATTTGGATTAGATAAAGGAAGGGTTCGAACGAGCCTACAAATAAAAAGAAAGAAAAAAGTACAAGTAATGCCACCATAATCTTGATCAATTCTCGATGAAGTAATACTTGATTATGAAGTTAATTCAGGAAATTTCTTGACTTATCTGTTACAAGAAAGAAATAAGTCAAAATTCATTTTTATTAAAAAATTCAAAGAAAACGTATATTCATTAGAACTCAAGGTAAGTATGTTGACAGACACTAGAAACCAACCATCAACTAATTGAATATCAAGCATTTGTGCTGCATTTCCATGCCATTGTATACGCTTCTTGAGAATGTCTCATATGTTCTACGTACGATTATAACAACATCAATTGGTTTCAACAAGATGCATTGTGAATGAGCATACAAAGGTACGCATGTGCATTTATCGGATAAGCTCTGGAGTCTATAGAAAGAAATGCATGAATCCAAAAGATAATAAGCAAGTGCAAAGGTCACAAGTATGTCCGCTAAGTGTTCTGATCACATGATAGAAAGAAATATATATGTATACACAGATAATGCGAAATAATTTGAATAAAATAATGTTGTTCTTTGTGCTTCTAGGTAAATTAAGTAGCATCAAGTATGTTTCTCCGACTTCACCAAATAAGATAGCAAAAAAATGACTAAAGAAATTTTTATTTCACATAAATCAGTAAACTGACTTGCACTACATACTCAGCAATAATATGGTATATCATAAAGTTGTATGCGAGGTACACCCCTATTCAAAAAATTCTATTGAGATATTAAATCACTATGTGATACGCACGTTATGTCTTTTGAATGCATATCAAATGGTGACTATTCACTTAACAATAACTATTTTCTTTATATTAATTTGTATTCTTTCAGTTAGACATCTCGTGCATGTTGCGTGTGCATTTAACATATAAATAACATTTTCATCATATGAAGATATTGTGCATATTATTTCTTCAAAAAAAGTTTAGGATACTGTACACAGAAATAAAAGGTTGGAAACCATGATTGCCACACTTATAAAAGATGGGGATCCTCAAAGAAATTTACCCAACCAACGGTAAAATGTGTTAAGAGGCGAGACTTTTCAAACGTGCAACTCAAACGTTGCGTAACGAGTAATGCTATTTAGCATAGATTGTACTGTAACACTAATTTAGGTGAAAAGAACACAATATGTCCAATTAAATCTAATTAAGGTTCAAACATATCACTATTTTTTGTTTTAATAAATTAGATCATTAATAAGAAATTTGATAAATTGAATATTCAGGGTTTTATCAAAATTTCAAACTCAAATTTCTTGTAATTTGTATTGCAGTGAAAACTCGAGATGTAACGTTAATATTTCACAGTAATACAAATGATTATTTAGTTCAATTTCAATATTGTATAGATTGATTATAAGCATGTATTATAAAATTTTCGAACTCAAATTCTTGTAATATTTAAGTGTAGTGAAAATTCAGATGTGTCGTTTATATTTTCACTAAATGACATGCTGATGTAAAAATATTTATAAGCAATAATGATTCATCTCATCTTTTACATCGACATTTATACGAGACATCAATATGATCTAGATAAGGTGTGAATAATTAATTTTGGTCGGACCTTCATATTCTGTAATTTTTTCAAATTATTTTCAATATTTGTACACATCATGTTAGCTTTTATTAAA